AATTGAACTAGAACAATGGAGACTACAAAATCCATGCTGCCTTTCAACTTTGCCTCTCTGTCTTGTTTCCTAATATTGAAAACAAGAAGAATGTTATCTTCTTGCTCTGGCAATCCTGAGTTGGCTGTTGCAAAGCTTAAACGAGATAATCTAATGGGAAATAAATTTGAAAACACTGGATTTGGCCTACTAAGGAGGAATTTTTCACAGAATGAGAGTCTGCTTATAATTTTATGGTCTTCCTGAGCTTGAAGCCCTGTGACCTGGCAAACTGGGTGGGCTACAGAAATAGCATTTGCTTGGGATCATCCTATGCCAATGAAGAGAGCTGCCCCTAACAGACTGCAGGGAGCAAGCAGTATACTATTGACACTAAGAGATTTTGCTTCCAGCTGCTGGGTGGGTGTCACCTCCCCCTGAATAGGCTTGCCCTTTCAGCTGGGGCCTGCTTGTCTCCATGTGGCCGTCTGCTGAAGCAAAAGTCACTTCCTCAGCTGCCAGGACTTAGGGCTACATCAAGGCATCCAGTAAGCATTCAGGTAAAGGTTGAAAAAGGCAATCAAACCTATGTGTTTTTACAAACAGGCAGATACTTGGTCTCCTGAAGACCCAGGGCCACAGCATGTATAGCCATGAAAGATGCACGTGGGGCAAGGTGAAATGCAGAAGGTTTAGAGCTAAGAAGAGGGCAGTGGGCAGGTGGAGACAGAATACGTGAGCAGAGGAAGGAAGAGAGGAAAGAAAGGCACAAGTGGTGGAAATGGGGGAAAATTCCAACCATCTGGGTTCCCTTCCAGCCCTAAGCAGCTTCTTTATAAAGACTCTTAACTCTTTGGGAACTATGGCTCCTCTGAAAATTCTTCTCTCTTAAAAAATATTCATTCACAGACTCGTGTACCATTTTGCCCACACTCCCAGAGGCTTTTTGGAGCCCTGGGAGGAATCCTACTCTCCCCCCAACCCCAGTTGATCTGAGACATCAGCCTTACTCAGCACTGTTCTCCAGGGCAGCAATATTGAAGCAGAAAAGAGAAAACTCAAGAGAGCAGGGAGGGGGAGGGGCTATAAGAGGGAAGGAATAAGTGTAATGATGTTGCTTTCCTCTTTTTACAATATCATGCCTGTGGGCTAGCTAGCTGGATGGATAGATCGCCTTTCTGCTTTCCACAGAAAACGGACTTGCACGGGCAGTGTGGATTCACTCTGCTTCCCTACCTGGACCCTTATAATGACAGCTTAAACAAAATCCAATAAATGTCCATTTGCTCTTGGAAAATAACTCCAAACAGATATTTCTGGAAAGGTGATGCTCCTTCCTATACCTCTGTCTGCCCAAGACATTTTGTTTGTCTGCTTTTCCTGCCTGCAATCTGTCTCCATGTCGGAATTTTCTATCCCCCACTAGATGTAATGTTATGCAGAAGACTGAAAGGGAAAGGTAAAAGGATTAGCAGATTGATCGATGGAAGATATTAATGCTCTTTCATGTTGGGTTGAAGAAGGATTTGAGGTCATCAGGAGAGAGGGTAGCAGGAGAATAGACTCAAGTATTCAAAAGACTCTCTGGATTAAAATCCTATTAAACTCACATCAGCTTCTCCAGGAGGCATTTGAGAAGGTTGGGGTTTCTTTAACATGTCACCATAATTAACCTTCCCTTAAGCTGTTTTGGGTGGGGAACTTTAGCAATTAAGAAACTGAAAAACTTTCATTTTCTATCACCCACATGGCTTTTTGAATGGGCAAAAAACTAGAGTGGAAAGTGGTTTAGCTTAATTGATTTGAGGGGTTCAGATCTCCCACTTGAACCTGCTGTCAGACTCACCCCTGAGATCCGAGTCCCTCAATAAAAAGGGTATTTTGTCCAGAGAAAGAATCAAAGGTTCAGATCTACTACGATGCTTTTCTTCCTCTGATCGTCCTCCCACTGAGTCCTACAGAAAGAGCAACTTTGCAAAGGGCTGGCTGTTTTCCCTAAAAAGATCTGTTTCTGGGCCCAGACTCCACTTCATAAAAACTACCAAAGAAACCCAAGGGCTGCCTCTCAGCAGGTGTAAAGCCGTGCGGCTTCAGCGTCCGCTGTTCCAGTACGAGTCAGTTAGAGTCAGGTGGGGGCAGCCACTATGGGATGGGGTGACAAACTCTCCCAAGAGATAAGGATCATGAAACACACGTTGTTGTAAAGGGTTGGTCTTAGCCATTTTTTCTTCACTAGGCAAAATATCATCCCGACTTCAGATACCAACACCCTGCCATTTTGAGCAACAGGGCAAGAAGCCCTGCTAGGGAATTAAACCTGTGGTACGACCAGCCTCTAGTAAGCTTGACAGTGATTGTGTGATACCTACGTGACCTCTGAGGTCATTTTCGGATCTCAGAATCTCTGAAATAGTAGTTGTGCACAGGCTGGCTTTTGGTAGCTCCTGTGCTCATGCCAGTGTTTATAATAACAATTAAGCCCTTAAACATGCTGTGCTCTGTCCTCAGTGTGATTTCATCAATCCTGTAAGGCTTAGGCTTATGCTACTCCCATTTGATACAGTGGGAGACTTTCAAGGGTTAATAATTTGCCCAAGGTCACACCAAGCGTGGTATGCCCTGGGTCAGGGATCTGGGCTCCTAACTCTCCTGCTATATCCCTGCTAAGAACCTCCTTTCTGAGCCTCCTGTTCAGGCTGTCAGTGCTCCAGCTGGTCTACTCCATCTCCCTGGCTCCCCCAGGGGCTGCCTGCCTGCCCGTCAATTGCTTTGATTTCCTCCCCCAGGGCCCCAGCTGGCCCAGCTTCCACCTGCTCGACCAGAGGCAGAGTTGCCCCGGGATCAGGCAGCCCTTTTGTCCGGAGGCCTGCAGCTCCTATTGGGAGCAGGTGGCCGGAAAAGCAGGAGAGGGCAGTCATCAGGGAAGCAGCTTGGGAGGTTGAAGCGGGAAAGGCAGATAGGGCTGATCCGGGGAGGAATTCCAAGTGACTGCCCCCTGAGACCTGAGCCCATCTGCGTGGCTGTCTACTCTCTGCAAAGGCAGAACCCTGGGGTGGGCTTCCTTGCCTCTGTTAGATCTATAGGAGGACGAAGCCAGAAAAGAAGGGCTCTCTTAGGAAGACCTTGGAGCTACCTTTCAGAAAATGTTTCAGTGCCCTGTTTTATGAGGTGGATCTCCTCTCATTTGAAAGCATTTCTGCCTATTAAAATGCTAATGTAAGCTACAGTGCTTGACATCTTCTTGATCTAAAGTCTTCAGTATTTTGCAAAGAAACTTGATTTTACAGTAGAAAAAAAATTGATTATTTTTTTAAAAAAAGGTCATCTCAGCAATCAGACTCCTAGCTATTTACCCAAATGAGTTGGAAACCTATGTCCACGCAAAAACCTGCACATAAATGTTGATAACAGCTTTATTGAGAATCACCAAAAATTGGAAAGAAACCAAGATGTCCTTCAATAAGTGAATGGATTAAAAAAAAAAAACTGTGGCATAACCATACAATGGAACATTACTCAGCAATAAAAAGAAATGAACTATCAAGTCACAAAAAGACATGGAGGAACCTTAAATGTGTATTGCTAAGTGAAAGACTCCGTTCTGCAAAGGCTACTGTAGGGCTCCAACTAGATGTCATTCTGGAGAAGGCAAAACTATTAGAGACGGTAAAAGGATAAATGGTTGCTGGAGGGAGGGTGTAAATAAGGGGGAATGGACAGCGGGAGCACAGGGCATTTTTAGAACAGTGAAACAATTCTGTATGACATTGCAATGGTAGATGTATGACATTACGCATTTGTCAAAACCAGTAGCATTGTAAACACAAAGGGTGGTCCCGAATGTAAACTGCAGACTTTAGTTAATAATAATACATCAATATTTGCTCATCAATTATAAGAAAGTACACCCACATTAATACAAGATGTTAACAGGGGAAACTGGGGAGGGAGCATGATGGGAGAGAGAGAAGATGAATGGAAACTCTCTGCAAATTTTCTGTAAACCTAATACTGCTCTAAAAAATAAAGCCTATAAAAATGGTTCATCTGAATATGCTTCAAACCCTAAAAAGTGATCACCTTGTGTCTCTGTATTCTTTTTAGGCTAATCATAATCCTAATAACCACCACATGCCATCATTTATCCAGGCCTGTACTGTGCCAGGCACAGTTCTAAGCACTGTGTATGTTTTATCTCATTTAATCCTTGCAAAAGCCCCATAAGGTCAGAGCAGTTAAAGGGACTTGTCAGATGTCTCAAAGCAGCAAGTGGTAGAGGCAGGACTTGAACCGAAGTCAATTTAATCCCAAGCCCATACTTATAATTCCTACACTCTACTGCTCTCCTCCCCTCCAGAGGACAGTGGGCAGCATTTCAGTAAGCAGATAATGGGACCAAGTAAGTCTCGACAACTCCTGTATTTAGTCATTCACTCACAAATATTTGCTGAGCACCTACATACCAAGCATTAAGCTAAACTCTGAGGATATAAATACAGGAAAGAAAGTCTCCCTGTCCACAAGGAGCTCCTAATTTAGTAGAAGAGACAGATAAGGAGATGGATGATGACAATGAAGGCTCTAGGGACAAGGAGTCTTGCAGTCCCAGCTCCTGGAATGACATGTCACAAGAAGGACTTAGGGAGAGCCCTCTGGTTGGAACAGAGATAACTAGGCATCTTGTCTTGAATGTGCATTTATATAGAAAGCACCCCAGACACTCTAACCATCTCACCTCTGAAGATAGAAGATCAAGAGTATGATAATACAGGAATAAAAAACATATATAAATTGCAGCGACAGAAAGAAAACTACTAATGTAAGCAATTACTATCTTGAGGAAGATGAAAAAGAACTAACATTCATTATATAACTACAATATGCTAGGCACTTGTCTAGGTCCCCAACCTACATCCACTCATTTAACCCCGAACAGTTTTACAGGGTAGGTGTTACTTTTGCTGTTGTTTTATAAAGACAGTGTAGAGTCACGTACGTCACAAAATTCATCTAATTCTTACCTGTGTCTTTCTTCTTATCTCGAGAAAGCTCGTGGACAGTGGCGCCAATGTCATGCCTCAAGATCTTGATGATGTTAGCCAGGGCAGGCACACTACGTTTATCCAGATAGGTGAAAAATTCATACTCATCTTTCTTTAAACGGGAAGGTCTAGATTCAATGTGGGTCAGGTTTATATCATTCTCCTAGAAGAGAGTGAATGGGAAGAGTGAGGGAACAATCCTTGGGACTAACATTGACCAAAGATGCAAAACCCGAACAAAAACCCAAAACGATGAAATGTAGAGTTGAGGAATAGGATTTTTTCTTTTAATAAAAGTAGAAGAAAAGTCCTTAAATTAGCAAAAGTTGTTTACTTTTTCTTCTTTAAAACCAAGTACCAAATGGCAAGAGTGGGGATAGATTTCAAATGTCACAGAATTTAGTTACATGGAAATTTGCCAAAGACCTGGAATTGCCACTGTAAGATTTTGGTTTGGTTCAAATATTTAGGAGAGTGGTTGCCAAAAATATTTACATAGAAAAACCCCCTTTCCCAAATGACATTCTGTAGAATCTCGATAAATAAATAATACAGAAATAACATTGTTCTGCTTGAATAAGGTCCACAGGGGTCAGGCTTATTGAGTTTATGTATAAGTTCTAAATCGTATTGGCTATGAGTCCTTAGATAATGAACTTTCATGTCTCTAATTCTCATTTTCTCAATCTGTAATTTGCTGGTCTTAATGATACCTGCTTCATAAATTCATTGGGAGCATTGGATGAGCTGATACATACACGCCTCCTGGCACATGGCAGATGCTCAGTAAAAATTATCTATTTATTAATTACCACTAACATACTTATATAATTACTTTCCATTCAAGCTATTCAACAAATATACATGTTTGTAGCTCCCGCGAGTGGCCAATCACCATTCTAGGTGCTTGGGATCCATTGGTGAACAAAACAACAAAGACACTTTCCTTTATAAAGCTCACATTCAAGTTACGGGAGACAAACAACAAATATAAAACATAACTAAGGAAAAAAAAACACTGGGCAGAGCAGAGTGAAGGGGATGGGCAGTCCTGAGGAGGGGTGAGGACAGATTCCAGTATTAAATAGGGCGGACACATGGGGCCTCATTGAGAAGCCGAGATTTATGTGCAGTACTAAAGGAGTGAGGGAGATGACGGCCCTAAGGTGGCAGCATGCCTGGCCTGGTGAAGGGACAGCCATGAGGCCAAGATGGCCAGAGCAGAGGAAGTGAAGGAGGAAATAACAGGAGACGGTGTCAGAATAATAACAGGGCTGGTGGCCAGCCATGGAGATCATTGCAGGCCATTTTAAGGAACATAGTTTTGATCCTGAAAGAAATAGGGATTTTTGCATGGTTTCAGGCAGAGGAATAATATGATCTCATGGACTTAAAATGATCAGTCTGACTTCTATGTTGAGAATAAACTTTGGGGAGAAGACAGACCAATCAAAACCTGTCGAGAAGCCATTGCAGAAATCCAGGTGAGGTGTGACTGATGGTGGCTTTGCCCACGGTGGTGGGGTGGAGGTGGTGAGAAGAGGATATATTCTGGATATCCTGTATGATTTTCTCAGAAGGATCAAAATTATCCAGGGACATGAGAAGAGTTGGTGGGTAAGAAAATGGAAAAAGGTCTATCATATTCCAAAATATTAATATTATGCCACTCTCAGGTTTGACTATGACTTTGATTTATAATGTGGCTGAATAAAGAAGCTCTCAGAAATCCAAGAGGAAGAAGAGGGCATCTCACGTGAGTCTCTTCTTTAAATCAAATTTTGTGTGCCAACCTAGGTACTAATGTAATGCAAAGATGAATAAGACATTTCTATTTAGACCTTAGCCACTCCTATCTCCATTGCACCATTTTTAATGGTTGTCTGATGGTCTATTGTACAGATATGGTCATAAATTCTTTAACCAGTACTCTAGCAATGGGCATGTGAGTTGCTTCTTATTTTTTGCAACTAGAAATGATGGAGAGCATTATAAATACATTTTTGCCTACTTACCTGATTTCTCAGCATAAATGCCTAGGGGCCAAGTATTTACCTAAGTGCACATATAAGAATAACATCTATTGGATGTTGGGCAGGGGGAAGGGGGGAGGGGAGAGGAGGGAGGAGGGGACGGGTATATGCATACGCAAAGTGCAATGCGCACCACCCAAAGGATGGACATATTTGAAACTCGGACTTGGCGGGGAGGAGGGGTCAAGGGCAACCTATGTAACCTAAACATCTGTACCCCCATAATATGCTGAAATTAAAAAAAAAGTATTTACCCTTTAAATATTGTTTATATATTATTCCATTGCCCTCCAGAAAGCCTGTACTCATCTATTCTACCTTTCCATGAGAGAACAGGTACACTTCTCACCTATACCAACTTTCAGGATTTTCAGTATTCTTGACCTGATAGCTCATAACTCATTGCTCAATTTTTTATTTAATTACTGATGAGTCTAAATATTTTTCCTAGGTTTAGTGGCCATTTGTATTTGTTCTTTTATGAATTACCAATTGATGCCATTTTCCTACTATAGAGCATTTTTAGTGATTAGTAATGTGTTTATATAATGATGTTAATTCTGTTATATATAATTTTTTTCAAATTAACATTTATCCTTGTCTATTCTTAAACACCTCCATGTAAAAAATTTTTTTTAAATGCTCCCCCAAAATGATGTAAAATAACAAATGTAAACAGTCTTAGAGTTTTTAAGGAAGGTAGCTTCAATGTGTTCTCAGAAAAAGGCAATAACTTCTTCCTCATCACTGCCTGAGTATCAAGGTTTCCCTGGTATATCTCAAGTGTTGCCTGATTTTAGAATTAATTTCCTGGGCTTTTCTGGTTTACTATGGCGTCTACTGAGTGCTAGTGCAAAATCACCAGACAGGAAGACGAAGCACAAGGTAAGTTGTGCAATGTGTCCAAATTCATTCCCTAAAAAAAAACAAAACAAGGCTGGATGACTCAAAAGTCTTATTCACATCTGGATTATCCCTTTCTAAGAAAGGGGAGGGCTGAAGCACATTTCTCATTATGAGATGCCTCCATTTTCTTGCAAAAGCTGGACTCTTTAAACTGGTTCAGAAGCAGAAATGAACTGAAAAATGAATGTTGGTCAGCAGCAGAACTTGGCAGAGTCTAGTAAAGCACACTGAACTCCCAACACAAAGAAGTCAACTTGCTGTCATCAGTCAGTGTTTCCCTGCTGGAAGCATGCACCACATGTCAAAACACCCCTCTCCCACATTCATGCAAAGAGCTGGGAAGCTGCTTTTATTAAGTGCCATAAAAATGCAAAAATATGATGACTTACAACAGCTACTCAACTTCAATACCTTTAGATGGTGATATTTTAGCTCTTACGGCTTTTATCACCAAAAAAAAAAAATAGTTATTTGCTTAAGTTGGCCCTCAAATGTAAATGCTGGACAAATCATCTGCTACTTATTCAAAAAGTCTATGATTTCATTGGTAGTGCTGTTCATTACTGAGAAACCAAGGAGTGTTGTCTACACTTTATTAAAACAAACAGTAGGGATTACCCAATGTTTAAATGGACAAAGCATCCTGAAAATATAGCAACTTAAGTAACTCTAAAATTTCAAAAAATGAAATTCACCAATCTTGTAGTTGAAGAGGTGTATCTTGTGCCTTGATTGTTAATGGTATAAGGTTGAAGAGAACATGTATAATTATAGTTAATATTTTTTCACATGAAAATATCACTTTATAGTATAGAATTTTTTTTCTGTGATCATATCAACAATGCTTTGAGGAGGTTATGGAAGACATAAAAAATAAAATCAAAGACAAAGGTGCTTTGCTGTAAGTAGTAGGAAAGAGAGATATGTTTTTTTTTAATCTCAGAGTCAATGGTTTCCTAATCACACTGCCTTTCCTACCATGGATACAGTGGGCACTCCACACATGTCAATTTATTATGATTATTACTCTTAAGCCAAACACAAAAAATTAAAACCACTGGGTATAGTAAATACAATAGTAAGTAACCTCGAACAGATGCTCTTCCTGTTGGTTCTTCTCCGTGATGCCTGAGGGCACATGATGCAGCCATTATTTATGGCTTTAGCTGCAGAGAGCACACCCCTGGCAGCTGTGGCCAGGTAAACCAACATGAGGGCCCCAGCTGGAGAGAGAACGGGGAGGAGGGAAGGCCAGAGAGATAACAGTAGCTCTGAAGCTTCCTCTGGCAAACAGAGGTTATTTCCTAAACAAAGCAAAGAGCAATGTCATCCTTCTTGGCTCAGGAAGAAAGAGAATAGGTAGGTTTCACCTGCTATTTACCTAAGTTGAAACTTTAAAAGAAGAGATAACCAATCCCTGTTTTGTGTAGAGCAGAGAACACAGCAAAGCCAAGAATGGACACACTTCTGGCACACTTATTTGTGGAAGAGTTTGGGAAGGTAGGAAGGGGGGGAGGGGGAGGAGGGGTGTGTGCACGGAGAGGAAGAAGTGTTGGAAGGCAGACCATAGGAGAGCAGTGCTCACCCCACCCCCCTTCCCCTCCGCTTGAAGCAGCCACTTTCACAGAGAAGATTCTCACTTTGGGAATAATCAACTGTAAAACAATTTATGCCCCATGACTCAATTTTTCTAATACTGGAAATCTAACTCATGGAAAAAAATCACAAAGTTTTTCACTAAAATTTCTAAGCAAACTAAACCCTCACAATGGGGGAATGATTAAGTGGATTATAGCATAACCACTCAGCGGAAGATTATGCAATCGTTAAAAAGCAACAACAACAACATGCATAAAATCAAGTGTCAGTAATCACTTCAAGATATGTTCACTCACACTGGTGGTCTCTAGATGATGGCTTAGGGGTGGTTTTGTTTCCTGTTTTCTATTTTTATTGTTATCATAGTTCAACTTTTCTAAAAACAACAAATATTACTTTTATAATGAAAAATTAACTTTATATATTAAATGGATATAATGATAATCACTTGGGAAAATATTTACAATAGATATAGATATGTAACCATTAAATCATGTTTAAAAAATTATGTCCAGGTTAAAAAAGTAAAAAGACTACAATAAATTGCATCAGAATGTGTTATGACAAGATTATGTGTAACATCTATTGTTTTGTCAAAAGTCTTATAAGAGTGAAATTTCTGGTT